AATAAGAAATTACTTAAGAGTACTTCAGGAAGGCTGAGGGAGTAGTTTAGTGGTAGAATGTTTGCCTAGGCCCTGGATTTGATCCTCAGTGCCTCAAAACAAAAAGAATGCTCTAAGAGCAAATATTCTAAAATATAAATAAGTTTTGAGACCAACATAGTTAGGTCATCTTTTATTCTTTATTGTCTTGTAAACCATATTCAGTCTCCATTTGCAGAAGACCTTGTTGATTCTACTTTCAAGATATATGCAGGTTTCACATATTGGTTCCATTGCAGTATTTGGACATCTAGGCTTCTCCCACTTCCCATTACTCCTCCCCCACCCCCACCCCACCCCACTTACCCACATCTTTCCCATTCTTTTTTAGACTGTTATCATTCTACCACTCTTAGTTTCAGTTAATGTAAATTGAGTAGTGCACATAGTGTCTAGAGCACTTTCATAAATGTTTACATTATTTAAAGTTTAAAGCTGTTCCCTGTCATTTGTTTCAGTTACCAGTTTCAGTGGTTATAATAAATTGCTCTCAAACTTACCAGCTCAGAGCAACTATGTTATACTCATGGATTCTATGGATCAGCAAGTTAGGGCACAACAGTATATGGTGTCTCATCTTACAGGACTTGAAGTTTGAGGGTGGCACAGCAGCTGGGAGGGTGGTGGAAATTTCTTGAAGGCTTTTTCACTAGAGTGTCTGTGTCCTTAGACATGATGTAAGGATTACATGTGACTTATCCATGTAGCCTGATTTTTCTCATAGTCTTGATAGCCCCAGTACAGTCATATTCCTTATGGGCCTCAGGCACAGGGCTCCCAAGTGCTCCTGTCCTTCCTGAGAGCCAGATGAAGGCTGCATTCCTTTTATGACACAGCTTCTCAGTGCTCACTGCATTACTACTGCTGATCAAAACTACAAGCTTTCTCCTATTCCAAGGAAGGAAAAATAGTCTTCATAACTTGAAGGAGACCAGAGTCACATTGTAAAATAATATGTGGGATTTAGAAAATGCCAGATGTCACAGAAGTAATAATTTTTTTTTTACTAAGTCGTAGAAGTTTGGAAAGAAGAGGTCATCACAAAGTGACAAAATTAACAAGGGGCATGGCATTTGGGGAAACTCCTCCTGAAGATACATTTAAGAAGTCAGGGTGGTGGTTCACTCCTATAATCCCATACTTGGTAAGCTGAAGCAGAAGGAACACTTTCAGTTCAAGGCCAGCCTAAGCTTCATAGTAAGCTCTAGGCCAGTCTAGGTTACAAAGTTGAGAATTTATCTCAAAAAAAGGGCTTTTTGAGAGTATGGTCTTTTGATTTTAAGACACTTATTTCAGACTTATTTTTATTAGTTCAATAAAAAGTTATGGTATCATGATTTTTCTGTAGTTTCAGTACTTGCACAAATAATTCTAGTCCACTCATTAGGAAAGAAAGCATAGTCTCTACCTTAGAGCAATTGAAAAGTCCCTGAGAGCTCACTGTTGATAAGATACTATGGGAGGCTTTAGGTCAGATGAGATAGTAGTAGCAGTTTCCTTTTCATTGACTCCTCGGTGACACAGCAGTGTCCACGTGAGCCAGAGATAGTAGTGTTCTAGCCACTCTGGTCTCCACTGAATAACAGGTGACTAGACTTTCTTTCTGTAGAGTTAATTAGGTGTGGTTATGGGTCCTTTCGCTAAAGGTCAATCATCTGGAAAGTTATTGCAACATTCCGTTATACTAAAGCATCCAAATTGAAAGCTATACCTACCTCTCCTGACAGAATTACTTAGATCTCTGAATTTGTGAGCTTTTATTGATTTGGTCAGTGATCTGATGACCATTCACATTATCTCTGTGCCTAGTCCATAGTGACTGTTAGAAAATCATAGAATTATCTTGGGATTTCCTTTAGCTATAACAATCTTACATATATTTATTGGAAAATAGTTAAATCTATTTTTTAAAAATACTCCAGGTTGAGTATGGTAGTGCATATCTGTAATCCCAGCACTTGAGAGGTTGAGGCAGGAGGACTATAATTCAGGGCCATCCTGGGCTACATACATACATAGTAAGACCTTGTCTCAAAAATGAAATTCCAAAGTAACATTTTTCACTAATTTTCATAAACCTTCCCCTCTATCATTACAAATACAATAATATCCCCTTGTAAGTTTGCATTAACACATGTGTTTTCTTGCATTTGATGTTACTGTTTCAGTCCTTAGATTTAGACTTTAGTTCAAAATACATATGGAAAGATGAGATATCACCATTCTAATTATCATAAACTTTGCATTGAAGTATGATATACACACAGAAAAATATAGAATGGATAATTGTATAGGTGAATGAATTTTCATGAATTAAACATATTCATTTAACTGCCACCCAGATCAAGAAATAGAACATTACCAACACCCCAGAAGCCTTCCTTCTGCTCCCTGCCAGTAACTGACCTCCCTCACCGTAGGTAACAGTTTTGCCAGTTTTTGAACTTCATGTAAATAGAGTCCTATAGTATGTATTCATTTGAGACTGGATTGTTTTGTTCATCATTATACTTGTGAGATTCATCCATGCTGTTGCATGTAGTAGTTCATTAATTTTCACTCCTGCATCATATTTCATTCTGTGAATATGCCACAATTTATCCATTCAACTTCAGTAGATATTTGAGTTGTTTCTAGCTATTACAAAAAAATCTGATATGAACATTTTTTTTCTCATCTTTTAGTACACATATCTGTAAGTATAATATACCTAACAGTAGATTTGCTAGGTCATAGGGCGTGTGTCTGTTCATATCCTGTATATACAATATAACTAAAATACCTGCTGCCAAAGTGGCTTATGTAGCTCACACTCAAATCAGCAGTGTAATAACAGGTCTGTTTGCTCTAATTCCTTACCATCACTTAGACCTTCATAGACCAGTTTGGGGTCAATCTTTTAAAGCTTAACTATTCTGATAGATAACACAGATCATGATTTATCTGCTTTATGGTACCCTTATTTGTGAAGTATCTAGTTAAGTCCTTTTCCTAATTTTTAATTCGATTGTTTCTTTTTCTAATTGATTTGCTAAACTTTAATATACATTAGAGATGTAAGCCCTTTGTTGTGTATATGTAATTGCAAAGAATCGTCTGTCCTGTGGATTGCTTTTTCACTCTTGTGAGTGTATCTTTTAATAACCAGAAGTTCTAGGGTTTTTTTCAATCTTTTCCTCTTGTGTTTAATGGCATTTGTGTTTCATTTAAAATATCTGTGTTTACCCCAATGTGATAAATATATTCTCCTTTGTTTTCTTCCAGAAGCTTTATAGATACTAACTTGCTTCAAGAAAGTTTATAATATACCTTTTGCCTTGTACAATGTGAAGCATTTGAAATGAATCATTAGCTATAAAGCCTTTTTTTTTAGAAAAAATCATAGCTTAGAAAAAAGTTGAATATTCTCTAATTGCCTTGTAAGGCCATGCACCAAAGAAACACAGTATATTTGATGTTATAGTCTCTGGAGAGCATGGATCTTTTCCTTTTCAGTTGGGTTTATTTCACTTGGAAGCATGCCTCTGAATACATTTCCCAAAATTTTAACTTTAGTTAATGCTTGTGGTTTCTGCATTTTCCTCAGATATTTGTTGCTTTTGGCTTTAAATCACCATATGATAAAAAATTTAAATATGCAGATACGTTTAGTTATTAACTTTATTCAAAGTGCATTATTTGGAATCATAGGCTTTGGGAAGAATGCTTAGAAGAAAATATCTACTCTCTGCCTTTACATGATAGACCATATATTTACATGTATTCATAGGAATATGTTTACTAACCCTTCTCCATATATAATAACTCTAGAGTTAAAGTAGCTCTCAAATCCTTCCAGAGGAATGGTTTTCATTATGTTACGATAACATACACGTGTCTGTTTCTTTCACTTTTTTCAGATAACCCACCCTGTTCTTTAAAATTGCCAGGAAATAATAATCCAGATTTCCTCCTAGTTATATTTTCTGATGCCTCATCTGGTATTTAAACCACCAGTTATAGAATAAGTTGTGGGCATGGAATTTTCTATTTCTTCCCTGCTTGGTTTCCTTGCCTTGAGTTCTTGGGTGTCAGGAGGGATAAGAGGAAAGGATGGATTTCCTCAGGCCTGCTGGAAAAGTTGATACAATAGTAAGAATCTTTCATTCATCGTATAGCCCTGGCTCAGACCTGTGGTTGCTATCATATATGGTTGGGAAATGCCTTAAATTTGTGCAACTCCAAAGTCTCTTGGCTTTAACTCATCTGTATAGTGAAAATAATAACAAATGTATCCCTAATGTTGCTGAATATCTGTTTTTATTATACACTATACCAAATAATCAATGTCATATAAGCATAGTAATGTTAAAAGTGTGGCATTATTTTAATCATAATTTATTATTGTTGTCTCTACTTTTTCACTAAGAAAACTGAACCTTATATAAATTAAGTGATTTTCCAGGACCATCATACAAATGAATGGCAGAAAAAAAAAACAGGCTTTTGTGACTCTAAAGCCTGTGCTCTGCACCAGTATCTAGTATTGTATCCATGGCAGAAAATCCTGGATTTGGCAGAGCTCTATGTTTGATATGACACCTTTGTGCACATAACACCCCCTACCAGATTTTCCATTCTAAATATACTTAGTGATTATTGTACCAAGAACACACAATAATGCAGCAACATTTTATTAAAATAAATGGTAGTAGAGTCCCAGATCCATGAAAGTGAATGAAACATATCATTAGCAGTCTGTGAATTCACAGCAGATGACAAAACTGAATTTGCAGAACCATTTGCTTTCTAGAAAGAGATCCACCATTCCTCACAGAGCACAAGGCAGGGCATGTACCCAGGGTGGAAAGAAAGAACATCCAGCTCCCCTGTATAGTCAGAGTGCTGTTGAGCTTATCCAGTCAGTCCCTGGAACCTGTCATTTGTTGATGGTTGCCAGTGTCTTTCTCTTGCTTTTATAGAATTATATCTGAAAAAATAAAGGAGATTCTCTTTGTCCGGCCCCGGAAATACATCCGTTGCTCCAGCCCAGAGAATGCAGAGCCTGGCTACATCAATACCCTGGAGTTGGCAGCATCTACATGCCGCTATGATCTAGATGACATGGACATCTTCTGGCTTCAGGAACTCAATGAAGACCTCGGAGAAATGGGTAAGTTGTTTTCTCACAAGTAAGTTGTGCTTTGACTTAACTAGTGACTTTTTTTCTCCTTTTTGAGTCCCACTGTATAACTCTGCCTGGCCTGGAACTCACCTTGACTGGCCTATACAGAGATCTACCTGCCTCTTCCTCCCAAGTGCTGGGATTAAAGATGTGCACCACCACGCCTGACCAACTGTGATTTTTTTTTTTAAGTTGTTAGGACCCTATAACTTGCTTTCATCTTTCTTTCCTTTCTTATCCAGCCTTAATTCTCCTCTTTGATCTTACATTTATGGAATATTTGTTCAAGTATATAAATATATTAAAATAGACCAATAACATTTACATGACCTTTCCTTCCTTCATTCAAGGTAAACAGCACTAATCAGGAATGGCATATAGGTTTCATGTTAATGTGGTTATAGATGACTGACTTTTGGTTGAAAAGGATACTGAGGCCTGTTCTTGGCTCAGCCCTGAAAAACATTGTCATTATTGAGCCGGGCCGGAGATAGAGGTGTATCTTCCAGGTGTTGGAGAAAAGGTCTGTCTTCTGCATTGAGCATTACCACTACAAGTGACAGGTCGCTATGACTATTATCTCATAATGCAAAATTTATAATTTTGTTACCCAGAATTAAAATAACACCAGGCATGCTGGCACACACCTTTAATCCTAGCACTCAGGAGGCAGAGGCAGGCGGGGCTCTGTGGGGTTAAGGGCAGGCCGGTCTTCATAGGGAGGTCCAAGGCAACCAGACGCTGTCTTCCACAA